CAGAATACCTTAGACTGGTGTCTTAGTCTGTTTTCTGTTGCTATAATAAAATACTTGAGACCAGGAATTTATGAAGAATAAAGGTTCATTTGCTCACTATGGTGGAGAATGGGAAGTCCAAGAGCCTGGTGCCAACATCTGCTCAGCACCTGGCAAAGGCCTTTTCCCTGCATCAGAACATGCCGAGGGACAGCACATGGTGAGATAGAGGAAGCATATTAGCTAGAGCCCCTCCTCCTTTTCACATAAAGTCACAATTGTCATCATGGCCCCACCTCATAACCTTATTTAATTCTAATTACCTCCAAATACCACTAACATATGACACTGAGGATTCAGTTTCCAACAAATGAATTTTGGGGAACAAACATTCAACTGCAGGAACCGAGTCATTAATAAATTCTAGAAATTTATTTCTCATGGTTCAGGAGGATGGAAAATCCGAGATCCAAATACCAGAAGATGTAGCATCCAGTGAGGACTTGTGCTCCATTCCACAGATGACCCCTGGCTGCGCTGTCCTCACCTGGCCAAAGGACAGAAGGAAAAATGAAAGGAGACTCCCTCAAACCCGTTCACAAGGGCACCAATCCCCTTTGCCTCCAAAAGGTCTTACCTCTTACTGGTACTGCATTGGGAGTTGAGTTGCTTTTTATTGGTATACGTTTGCAATACATAATGATTTTATTTGTCATGGGGAGTTGGTACATGTACAAAACACATCCCAATTGTTTTTAGTCCCCTAGCCCTTCCATCCCTCCCTGTTCCTTCCAACTGTTGGCCCTCTTCCCATTTGAAAAAGATCTTCCTATTTCCCATTATCTATCTTTTATTTTGCTCTTTATGCGTATTTTGGGTTTCTCGTATAGGAGAAACCTTGGGATGTCTAAGCTTGTGTGTCTGATTTATTTCACTTCATATTATGGTCTCATGCATCCATTTACCCAAGAATGCCTCAGATTTTTTGTCCTTTATGGCACAGTTGTGCTCAACTGTGTACAAAGACCATATTTTTTGTCCATTCATCTGTTGAGGGCCTTATAGGGCATGTCCAAGATTTAGCTATTATAAACTGTGCTGCTCTAAAACGTGGATGTGCACGGGGATTAAGTGCTAACTTGAATGTTGGAGAGGCACAAACATTCAAGTCTTAGCCAGTATTTATGGAGCTTTCCTGTCAAAAGTAGATATTCTGTAGCCTTTAAAAATTATCAAAACCATTTGGGCACCCACATGTAAAAGAATGAAACTGGGAGCCTTCACATACGCAAAACTTAACTCCAAATGGACCATAAATCTAAATGTAAAAGCCACAACTATAATACTATTAGAAGACTACACAGGAGTAAGTCTTCATCTCCTTGGGTTAGGCAACAGCTTCTTAACAGAACATTAGAACCATAAGCAACAACAACAAAAAATAGATCAAGTGTGGACTTCACCAAATTTAAACCTTTTGGGGCTGGGAATTTAGCTCAGTGGTTCCACCACCTGCCTTGCAAACACAAGGACCCGAGTTCGATCCCCAGGACCAAAAAAAAAACACAAAAAAACAAAAAACTTGTGCACAGCCAGGTGTGGTGGCACACACCTATAATCCCAGAACTCTGAGAGACTGAGGCAGGAGGATTGCAAGTTTGAGCCCAATCTGGGCAGTTTAGCAACTTCCGGAGACCCTGTTTCAAAATTTTAAATATATATACTTAAAAAGGGATAGGGACTTGCAGCTCAATGTAAAGGCCCTGGGTTCAATTCCCAGGACCAAAACAAAAACAAAAACAAAAAACTTAGGCACAACATTATTTATAACAGTTAAAAGTGGGGAAAGAAACAACACAAATGCCCATCAACTCATCCGCTGACAATGGATAAATGAAATGTGTTATGTATGTCTACACATAAAATATCATTCAGTCATGGAAGAAATAAAGTATGTTCAGTGCTACAAACAACATGGATAAGCCTTGAAAATATTATGGTAAGTGAAATAAGCCAGACTTAAAAGGTTACTTATTGAATGATTCCATTTACATGAAACATACAAAACAGAAATAAACATTGAAGAGGATTGGGAAATAGGTTAGGTTAGGAAATGGGTGGGGAATAATGAGAACTGATTGCCAGTGGGTACAGTTTCTTTTTGGGAGTGATAAAACAGTCCTATAATTTATGGTAGATTTTGGTGGTGCACATCTAATCCCAACACTGGGGAAGCTGAGGCAGGAGGATCACCATGAGTTCAAGGCCAGCCTAAACTACATAGCAAGATCCTGTCTCAAAAAATTTTTTAAAATCAAATCAAATCTATTGTGGTTATGGACAGACAACACACTATAAATATTCTAAAAGCCCCCAAGTTGCACACTTTGAGTGGTACTTATATGGTTGTGAACTGCATCTCAATAAAGTCATTTTTAAAAACCACAAGAGTGGTGTCGGGCTATTGAACAAGCTGTCCACTTGTTGAAATTTATGTCTTTGAGGAAAAACAGTGCTTCATGCACATCTGGAGCACTAAGTTCCAACTGCACAGGACATTGTCATGGGTGACACAAGCCACATGGGTGTCAACTCGATTTCATCCCTGCTCTCTCACGCTCCCACCCCACAGCGCTGGGTCCTAGACATTAGCTGCTGGAAACTGACTGACTCCACAGCTCATCCTCCATTTGAGGGGTTCTTAGTGATCTCACGGCCCTCTTCTTGATTTGATAGATGCAAAAACTCGGGCTCAGAGTGAGAATATCCATCTGAGAGTCATAGTGAGTTTCTGGAGAAGCTGGGACTAAAACCTGTTAAGAACCTCACCTCTTCTCCATGTCCCCAAACTGGCCTTCCCAGAACAGCTAGGATCTGAACTCCCCAAAGCATCCATCAGGCCCCCCACATGACAGGAGAGGTCAGGAATCCACCATTCATGGGGGAGGGACAGGAGAAGACAAGGCCAGTTCTGAGAAGGCTGCGTAAGCCCCTGTTCCTGTAACAGTGGGCACACAGAGGGTCACAGACCGAAGGGATGAGCATGAGATATGACCCAGGAGACATAGGGTCACACGTGGTCTGGGGCCTGCGGCTGTTTGTTCCTCTCACAAACGCAGCTGGAGGTGGGACCTGGTCACCCAGTTACCCACTTTTCCCCACCGCACAACCAGTGTGACCTTGCCCCCCACAGGTGTCCATGAGTCACTCCACCCATGGAAAACTCCCCACCAGACGGCAACAGGGAGTGTGGAAGAGGGGCCTCTGGTCCCCCCAGCACCAGTGGGCTAAGGCCCAAGGCAGGGCAGGGGTGCAGGTGTGGGCAGGAAGTAGACTCCTGCTGCTCAGCGATGAGAGGACAGTCCCGTATGCTAACACTGGCCAGGGTCTAGGTACTGTTCTAAGCACAGTCTGACACCTCATCATCACAACCACTGTCAGGGTCTGCATTACCATTATCCCCATTTTTGGATGAGGGAACTGGCTCAGGGAGGCTAAAGCATCCTGCCCGGCCACACGGCTAGTGCCTCACTGCAGGCCTGGGCCCTGGCGGCTCTCTGCTCCTTCCCCAGCGCCTGGCACATCTCACCAGAGAAGGCAGCAGCAGGGGATGCCCAGCGATGGGCTCAGCCGCCAGCTCAGCCAAGCCAGAATTCAAGAACAAAGGCCCCAAGTCCCGTGCACGCCCTGCTGTCTGTCCCAGGGTCCCACGCCCCAGGCGGCCCTGTGTGGCAGAGGCACCTCTGGCCATCACAGCTTGCTTCCTGAGGGCTGTCACAGGCCGGAAAGGGAGGTGAGTACAGGGTGGGTGCTGGTGTGACCTGTGGCCACAGTTCAGGGGCGGGCAGGAAGCAGAAGTGAGGCAAGCATGCTGGGGGCCCACACCACCATTTCTCAGACTCCAGTGGGGAGCGAGGTGTCCTCTGGCAGCTTCTCCTCTGGCTCCAGGTAGGAAACAGCAGAGGGGGGATCTGGGGGCCCCAGGAGGGAGGGGGTAGAGCTTGATGAAGAAATGCTGTGACCCTCCTGTGACAAGACACCGGGTGTCAGAAGGCCCTGACCTCAGCTGCTCACTCAGGGGGCAGCCTTGTGCCCACTCTGGGCCTCAGTTTCCTCATATGTGAACGGAGAGGTTTTGCACGGTCCTTTCCAGTGCTGACAATAGAGCGTCTTCAACCTCCAGAAATAGGTTCCCTGGACTGGTGAGATGTGGGCCCCAGAGAAGCTGAATTCCTGGGTTAATTAAGGTCATAAACCATGTGGCCTCCTAAGCTGGGTGACTGCAGAACCTTGGGGAGACTCCTTCCCCTACTTACTTTCCTGGACCCTCATAATGCCTGGATTCCACCCTCAAGTCGCTGCTTTGGGTGGGTGGGGCACAGCTAGAACACAAGGGACGCTTGTAAAGCTTGATAGGAAACGCCAGGGAAGACCGGAGCATCAAGAGGGGTCTGAAGAGCAAAACCAGGGTCCTCCCGCCCAGAGCAAGTTGTGGGCACACCGGCAGCCCTCAGCTACCCACCCGATGCTCAGAGGGAGAGCAGGGCGATGCATCACCTCACTTCTTTCCCAGGGCCATTAAGGGCTCAGTGGGAGAGATCAGAGCTGGAGCTACAGGCAGAAGTATCAGTGCAGGAAAGGGTGTGTAATCTGGGACTAAATGACACTCCTTCAGGATCTAGGCTTCCCCAGGCTCCCAGACCCTTCCCCAAAGCTGTTACTCTACTCTATCTCCTGTGGACATAGCTCCCTTCTCACCTGCAGCGGCTGTATCCTGGGGACACAGCCATCAATCTAAATGCCCACTAGGCCTTAAATAGCAAGAGACTGTTCTTTGCTGTGTGACTCTAGGCAAGACACTTACCCTCTCTGGGCAATATAGAAGGTCAACCAATCCTGCAAGGAACAACCTATCTTTGGCACTGGACAACATAAGACAATCTCAGACTCTCTCCTGATAATAATCCATGGTTGTAGGTGGAGAAGTCAGCTAACCTTCATCCCTCTGCTTCCCAGGCTCCATGGCTGCCTACCTGCTCTTCCTGGGCATTCTCCTGCTGCTGCCCTCGCCTGCTCCGGCCCCCTGCTACACAGCCGGGCCTTCAGAGTGCAAACAGAAGCGCAACTTTGTGCCAGGTGCGTGGCTGGCCGGGGAAGGAGTGGACGTGACCAGCCTCCGCCGTTCACATTCCTTCCCCGTGGACACACTCAGCTTCCTGCGGCCAGACGGCACCTGTACCCTCTGCAAAAACGCCTTGCAGGGGGGTGCCGTGCAGCTGCTGCCCCTGGCACTGGAGCACTGGCGGGCCGAGGGCTCGGGCTGCCGGCGCCACGTATCCAAGGCCGAAGTCAGCTCCACGGAGGCCGTGGCCGGCAATGCAGCTTCTACCATCACCAACAACTGGAAGGAAGGGCTGGACGTGTCTCCCAACCCCAGCGTCAACGTGCAGGTATCCGTGGCCGGCTCGCACTCCCAGGCAGCGAACTTCGCGGCCGAGAAGAGCCACCGGGACCAGTACCGCTTTAGCACAGACAAGGTGGAGTGCCGGCTGTACAGGTGAGGCCGGGCAGGTGGGCTGCGGCTGGAAAAGGGGGTGGGAATCAGAGGGGTCTAGAAGCCTCAGAGCGGCAACGTGGGGACTTGGAGGCTGCTTCTGGCAGGAGAAAACCACAATCCTGATTCTCAGATCACAGCCCCACGGCCTCTTCCATCCACGGGGGCCCAAACCTGGGTGTCCCACTGAGGAGCCAGGCAGACAGGATGTGAGCAAGCCCATGTCAGCCAGTATTCATGCCTGCTGCACACCAGGCCTACTCTGCCAAGCAGCCACAGCCACTACCCCAGCCTCCGCGAGCAGGGAGCCAGGGACCCCGATACCGCATCCATCACACAGCACACGGTCCCCACTGGCAAAATCACACCTGCCCTGCTCCCTCAGCGTGGAGGCCACATTCCCTGCACAGTGAGGCCAAGCACCTCCTGCCTGCATGACCAGAGCAGTCAGGAGCCCAGATACATGGGTCTCATCCAGGGGGACAGATGGGTAGATGAAAGCCACATCACAGCTTCCAAAGCTGTCACTCCACTTACAATAAGAAAATAAAAAATTTTAAAAGCTATTTTGAAATAGAAGAAATAATCTGCACAAAGTACCGAGGTCCCCAAGGAGCAAGTCCCCTAGTTCCCCAAGGGTAGGCTTCCTGCCAGCACAGTGTCTCCAAGCTTGGGTTTTGCAGCCAGGCTCCCGGGTTCAAGTCCCATTCTGCCCTCACATGTGGTCCTAGACAAGCTGGAAGGAGTTACCAAATGGTCAAAATACTGCCCGCTACTGTTTCTCTCCTTGCAGTTATCACCTGGTGTACACTCCCCCGCTCCATCCTGATTTCAGGAAGGCCCTCCGGGAACTGCCCCCGCATCTCAACACCTCCACCGAGCCTGACTACCACAGGCTCATCTCCAACTACGGCACCCACTTCATTCGGGCCGTGGAGCTGGGTGGCCGCATCTCAGCCCTCACCGCCCTGCGGACCTGCGAGCTGGCCCTGGAGGGGCTCACGACCGATGAGGTGGGGGACTGCCTGACTGTCGAGGCCCAGGTCAGCATCAGCGGCCACGCCAGCTCCTCGTCTGAATACAAGGCCTGTGAGGACAAGAAGAAGCAGCACAAGATGACGACCTCCTTCCACCAGGCCTATCGAGAGCGCCTCTTCGAAGTGGTTGGTGGGCACCAGGAATCCATGTATGACCTGCTGTTTGGGAGCAAGGCTGGGCCCGAGCAGTTCTCAGCCTGGGTGACCTCACTATACAAGAAGCCGGGCCTGGTGGACTATAACCTGGAGCCCCTTCACGTGCTCGTGTCAACCCAGGACCCACGGCGGGAGGCACTCAAGCAGGCACTGAGCAAGTACCTGATGGGCAGGGCACGCTGGAAGGACTGCAGCCAGCCCTGCCCACCAGGGCAGCACAAGAGCTCCCACAACCCGTGCCAGTGTGTGTGCCCTGGCTCAGCAGTCACCACCAAGGACTGCTGTCCAAGCCATAGGGGCCTGGCCCGGCTGGAGGTGACCATCGTCCAAGCTAGGAATCTGTGGGGGGACTGGGTCACCGACTCAGATGCCTATGTGAAGGTCTTCTTTGGCAAGCAGGAGTTGAGGACTGGCACAGTGTGGAACAATAACAACCCCAAGTGGGCGACGCGGCTGGACTTCGGGGATGTGCTCCTGTCCACAGGCGGCCCTCTGAGGGTGCAGGTCTGGGATGCAGACAATGGCTGGAATGATGACCTCCTCGGCTCTTGTGACCGCTCCCCAACGTCTGGCTCACATGAAGAGACATGCCACATGAACCACGGGGACCTGACATTCCACTACCGCGCCCAGTGTCTGCCCCACCTGACCGGGCCAACCTGCCTGGTATATGCCCCACAAGGGCTCCTGGGGGAACCTCCGGGAAACCGGAGTGGGGCTGTGTGGTGACTCCAGTGAGCTCTGAGAGGCCCGGCATGCTCAGACAGGGGTTCTCACCATGGGAACAGGGGCCTGTCTTCATATTCCCATCCCAGGTGACAAACATACTTTTTTTGTTTCCCACAGTACTGGAGGTTGAGTGCAGGGCCTCGTGAATGCACAGCAAGTTTTCTACCACTGAGCTACCTCTCAAGCTCTTAATTTGAAAGTACGCTAAGTTGTCAAAACTGGCCTTGAGCTCGTGATCCGCCTGCCTCAGCCTCCTGAGCGGCTTGCATTACAGGAGTCACCACCATGCTCAGCAGACTTGTACTTTTTTCACTGAGGCAGCTGAGTTTATAAGCCAAACCTGGGTCTCTCCTTCCAAACTGCCTCAGTCCTCCCACGTTTTCCAGCCTGACAGTCACTGCTACAAAGACCACAACTCTAGCCAGGAGCTTCCACACCAGGCTGCTTACTGTTCATCATTTAAGACCCTTCCCTCTTGCAGCACCCTCTGGCCTGGCAAGTTTTTCATCATCTTAGATCTGACCCCTTCTGCCCCCATCTCTCTGTTTGCTCTGTCTCCCACGTAGTCAGTGCCTGCCATGACCTGTGTCACTGTGGACATAGCTTGATAGAAAACCAATAAATTACACTGTAATGGTGACTATGATGGTGGTGTGGTGGCAGAGGCAAGGACGGGGACCAAACACACCCTTACAGACAAACTTCCATATCAGGAACCAAGGCAAAACAGGCAAGCAGGTAACAGAAGTTCAGTTCTTCTACTTTTGTTGGAAATGTGGAAATCCAAAATACTTGACTTTGCTCGCGGTCCTCTGACCTAAGAAAGAGCAGCATACGTTTGGTGATAGATGGCTGCGTCTTCAGCTGCAGCTGGACAACCACGAGCCATGGTGAGGACTGTGGTGGACAGGAGAGCACATGTTTCATCTACTGGGGGTGGGGACTGTAGTTCCACTGCAGCCCAAACACATTGGGGCAGGAATATGAGCCCAGCACTGGCAGGTCTTCTGGTTCCTTCAAGTAACCAGAAACCTCAATTTGATTTCTAACTGTGGCAGTTAATATCAATGTTAAAATAAATCCATGTGGGCAAACGTGGTACAAGCCAAAAAGAACATGTATGTGGGTCACCATTGGTCCAGGGCCATCAGTTTGGAAAACCCAACTTCTAACAGAACCCAACAGCACAAAATGAAAAGCTCTGTTCTCACTCCAGTCCATGGGGAAACCGAGATTCTAACAAGGTGGTCTCAGGGAGCCTCCCCAGCTCGGCACACAGTAAGCCCCAGGGTCTCAGGTTCTGGTATCAAATGGAGTAGGTCTTGTTTCATGTGCCTGGGGCATAGGCCCATGCAGTCAGGGACAGGAGTCAGGGGAGCTACGGTCATGGCTATGCAGGGCCTTAGTCAGAGGGGCTCAGAGGAGCTGGCCCAGCCCTCCTGACTCTACAAAAGTCCCTACAAATTAATATCTAAGGTTCCTTCAGGACTAGTAGACTCAAAGGCAAGGAGTGACATTGTATTGACACTAAATCCCCAGGTATTAGTAGGGCTAGAAGCCTGGTGAAACTGCTGTTTTTACCCATTTCTATTCGCAGCTGCACACACAAATAAGGGCACAAGAAAGGCTGTGAAATGTCTCACCGGCTGTTAGATGGACTGAAAACAAACAAGGGCTTGGGCCACACCACTCTGAAAGCACAATGCAAGAGTGGGTGGGGCTAACTCACAAAGTCCCTCCTTTGCCTAAGGCCTCAGTTTCTCCAAGAGTACAATGCTTATTTTACTCCCTTCTCACAACTATTTAGAAAAGGATCTCAGCCTTCCTATTGCTGTGGAAAGGGATCTGGGAGGTCATCTGAATAGCCCTGAAAGGTCATCTGGCTAGCCATCCTGGTTTCACATACAGGGAAACTGAGGCTCAGCGGAAGAAGGGATTTACTGTGGTCAAAGTGGCAGGAAGAGCCAGGTGTCTGAGTCCTTGGCATTCCACTCTGAGCACAGCTTTGGAGAGAGTAGCAAGAATCGGGAATGGGATATCTTAGGGAAAAGAGATGGTGTGACCGAGGAAAAACAGTGACCGCTGTTGTTGAAGGGATGCTACAGTGAAGCCCCCAGCCCCTCAAGACCAAACATGACATCTTCATCTCTGCCCCATGTGGACACTTGACACTTCCACATCTGAGCCTCCATTTGTTTGAAAGCTGACCCCTCTGCCAGGTACCTCCCATGGCCCTGTTCTGTCCTGCCTGCCCTGGCCCAGGGGCTGGCCTGTCTGACCTGTCAGTGGGCAGAATGGAGTGGAGTGCTGAGGTTAGGGTCCCTGCTCCCTTTAGTGTCCTGGCGAGGTGCCTGTGGGCTGGCTCCTATAGCTCTCTAGGCCTCTGAACATCTTCTCAATTCTGGGAACGGCCTCTCCATTCACCCCTTCAGACCTAGGGTGTTCACAGCTATGCAGCTGCCAATCCTGAGTGACCACACTCTCCATCCCTCCTGTTCCCACAGCCCCTGTCCTTGTTATAAACCATCCTCCCACTATTATAATTGGAATTTGCTACTGTCTTTCTACTGGGACCCTGAGTGGCATTCCACCTCCAGAGTCCTGGTGGAAACAGGGATACTAGTTCCCTCTTCACACCCCTTCACACCCTACTGTCCATCCCAGTGGAAAGCCGGAAGTGCAAGGCACGCTGTCCAGGCCTGAAAACTGTCAGCCAATGACTGACAAGAGTTGGTGGGTAAACCTCCAGCTCTCTCCTGCTGGGCGCCAACTGAGGGGTACGCTCTACACTGACTCCCAGAGTTCCCCAGCTGTCCACAGAGGTGACCCTGTGGAACCACACACTTTCCTGGAAGCCCTTCCTAGCCTAACTCCCCCGTCCCACTCCTCCACTGGTACTTTCTAGAATTACCTCCCATAGAAATCACCTGCCTGGGAACCCTGGCTCAGGGCCCATCTCTGGGGAAACCAGCTCCGGTACACACTGACCAAGTCATTGCCTGGATGAAATGCTTCCCAGGTTCCCGGTGACTCTTGGGTAAAGCAGGAACCCCCTAACGTGAGCCACATGCTGACACCCCTTTAACTCTGCCACCCTCACTAAGACTTGCCTCACTAAGATCATTATGGGTTCCTCTGCTGGCCACAGTCTTTCTGGACCAGTACACAGGCCTCAGCTTCAGTGGTAACTGCCCCCAGGAAGCCTTCCCTGACTGCCAACTCTAGGTCATGCTCCCTATCACTGCTTCCAAGGGAACTGGTTTGGGTTTCAATGGAGTCCTTAGTTCAGAACCTGCCTCCTTATAATATCCAGCCCTGGTGGTGGTTCTACATTTCTATCTCCAGTGAAGTGAGGTAGAAGGACCACTGAATGCTTTCTCTGTTTGTTTCAACTGAACTCCTTGGGCTAAGTTCAGTCCATGTGGTAGGTCCTCCCTCACTCTCTTCCTGTGAAGGAGTCACATGCTACACAACTGGAGGTGCTGACCACCCCACAGCCTGTCATGAAAGGTGCTGGCTTCCTTCTGTGTTCCTGAGGTAGTCCCAGCCAGGGCAGCTCTTTCTCAGGCAGAGCTAATGCCCATTCGGCCTAGCCAGGTTCTGACCCCCAAGGAGCAAGGTGCACCACGGGCCAGCTCATAAGATCGCTCCCTTGCCTGATGAGGTCCTTTCCACCATGACTTCCCCAGCCCAGCCTGCTACCACACTCCTGGGGTCAGGGGAAGACTGAATGTCCACCTGGTCTTCTGCTCTTGGGTGGTCTTCCGTGGCATTGGTGCAGCTGAGACTATGGTCACAGGTGACACTCTCATGAGTAGTTAGGGTTAGGTCTAGCTGCAGAGACAGAGGAAACCTCAGTCCCCTATAGGACCCTGGAGAGCAGTCAAGGACCGACACCCAGCTGGGGCTACAAATGCCCCAAGCACACAGTCACCCCAGACCAGGCACAGAGATCAAACATATGGACCCCGGCTTTGGCCCAGTTCTGCTCCAATCCTCTACAGCTCTCTGGAACATGTGGCAACCACATAAAACTGCTCCTCCAGACCCCAGGCTCCCAGCCATATAGCGGGGGTGGGGGTAGAATAATTTCTGAGCAGCTTTCCAGCTCAGAGGGCCCCAGCCCCAATTCCACAAGCTGCTCACCTGGACACTTAGCAGCAGAGCCAAGTGGCCCATGGCCCCATCTCCACCCGCCCGTGAGCACTGCCATTCTCGAGATGTGGGACAGCTGATCCCACTGCCTCGCTCTTCCCACGGGCCACTCTGCAAGCCCGGCCAGCCAAGAGCAGAGCATCTGCTGCTGTTCTTCGGGCTAATCAGATCCACTGTTTACCACGGGGCCTCAACAGCACATCTGGACCACAGTTAATCGCTGAGACAGCTGGGTCCTAGTTTCGTCTTGAAAGAGCGGTGACGTCAGCTTGCTGGCAGGACACTGGTTTTCCCCCTGGGAAAACCAAACTTCTTGTGCGGCTGCTCAGTCACGGAACCAGGCTGACCCAAGGCTGACACTCCCATCCCTCTCCTGTTCTTCACACAGGATGCGGTAATCAATGCAGGACATCGCTGTTGCCAGCCTCGCCCTTCACCTCCAGAGACAATGTGGGCTCCAGGGCTTCTCATGAGTCTGCTTTGCAAAGTGCTTTTCCAAGTTGGAGCAAATGCAAGACCTTGCTCCTTTCACTTTTATTGTTTCTCTCTCACACACAGCAGAAGTGAATATAGTAATGCCTCTGTTTGGGAACAATTTGCTGTTTGTGAACAATATGGTTCACAAACAGAACCCATTCGGCCAAATTTTGCTTCCCTTCAAGAACTCTGCATTGGGTGATGAACATGACCACGGCCATCTTTCCCGCACAAACAGGAATGCAGCCCTCCTCCCCAGAATCATGGAACAAACTAAGTTCACGAACTGAGGTCCCACTGTACTGTTAACGTGTCTGAAGTGCTCGCTGCAGTGTTTTAAGCACTGTGCAGGTTTTAGTTCCTCTCCTCTCCCCAACACCCTTATGAGGCAGATTCACGTCTCCCCATCTTAGAAATGAGGCAGCCTGGAAAGCTGAGGCTTTTCCCTCGCCTTGCCTCAAACCTTCTCCATCAGTCCCACTGTGGGACCTGGAGGTGTCCCTGTTGTGCACTGACTTCCCTCGGGCTCTCCTGTGATGTCCCCTCAACCATCTTCAACACAAGGTGGGAGGGTGGCTGCAGAGGACCCACCGAGGGCTGCTCCCAGGGGAGACATCCTCCCAGGCCACTTGTTGTTTAAAAAGGGCTAAAAATGCATGGAACACAGTATTTGCTTAAGTGTGCACTTCAGGGGCATTGAATGCATTCACAGCATTGTGTAACCATCACCACAATCCACACTCCCAATTTTCATCATCCTCAAACCAAATCTTTGTGCCTTTTAAAGGAAAACTTCCCTATGGTACCTGATAATCTCTATTTTATTTTTTGAATCCATGAATTTGCCTATTCTGGGTACTTCACATAAGTAAAATCACACAATATTTACTTTCCGTGTCTGGCTTTTTCACTTAGCACGATGCTCATCTGAGTTTCTCACACTTCATAATCCCACCATTCTGTGGCCGGATAATGCTCCACTGGATACTGACACCACCTTCCGCTTATCACTCACCAGCAGACACGTGGGCTGTTTCCCTTTGGCTCTGGTGAACAGTGCTTCTGTGAACACTGGCAGACAGGCTCTGCTGAGTCCCTGCTGTCAAT